TTTTTTTAATATTTTTTTTTTTTAATTTTCCTCTGGGGGTGTGTTAAAAACCGCAAGCTCTCTCACGCCTTGCCTCAAACCCGCAATTCCTCCCCCAAAGTTCTCTCTCCCCCCCGCCCCCTCCCCTCCTCTCCTTTCCTTCCCCTCCCTCCTCCTTTTGCCGGTGGTTTTCCAATATTTCAGCAGCAAATTCGCCGCCGGTCCCCCCTCGGCAGAGCGGTGCTTGAGGAGAACCAATTTAATCGCCTTTTCGCCAAGGTTATGGGCCACCAGGGTCCCCGGGAGGGGGCTCCAGGACTTGGGGACAGCCCGGCCTCCCCGTCGGGGCCAGCTATTGCTCCTATAAAAGTTCCTGCTCCGCAAATAAATGAATTCACCCCGGGATCCACAGGCGAGGATTAGCTCAATTGATGGTCCATTCGAGTCCACTTGCCAAAAAAAAAAAGAAAAGAAAAAGAAAAAACCCAAAAAACCCACCAAAAACTAAAACCACTGTTTTTTTCTTCTTGCTTTTTTTTTTTTTTTTTTTTTTTTTTTTCCCGAAAATCCCAGTTCTGGCCAAGTCGCAAACCAACGTCAAACCCGGGAGGAAAAAATGGAAAACGGTCCAAAAAAAAGGAGGGATTTTCCCCTCGTGGCTATTGTGTGCCGCTCCCGCTGAGTGCTTCAGCTGAAGTTGTTTATTTACAAGCCACCGAGGAGGGTTTTGGGTTGGTTTGTTGGTTTTTTTGGTTGGGTTTTTTTTTTCGCCTTATCACACAGTCAAGTTTACGCGCTCCTGCGCCGGCCCCCGCGGGAGGGGCTGCCTGGGGTGGGGTGGGTGCAGGTGGGTGCCCGGGGGTGCGCAGCCCCGTCCGACACCACGGGAACCTCTGGACACTCTCATCCAGCATTTGCGGCTCTTACAGACCCCCCCTCCCAACCAAGCTTCTTGGCTTTTCTTCTTTTTTCTCTTTTATTCCTTCTTTTTTGTCTTTTATTCCTTCTTTTTTTCTCTTTTTTCCTTTTTTCTTTATCCTTTTATTCCTTTATTTTCTCTTCTCCTTTTATTCCATTATTTTCTTTTTCCTTTCCTTCTTTTTTCCTTTTTCCTTTATTTTCCCTCTTTTTCCTTCCTTTTTCCTTTCTTTTCTTTTTTCTTTTCTTTTTCCTTTCTTCCTTTTTCCTTTTTCCTTTTTCCTTTTTCTTTTTTCTTTTTTCTTTTTTCTTTTTTCTTTTTTCTTTTTT